TGATCAGGTCCAGCTTACAACTATTGTATGTACCACTGATACCGCCACGCAAACAGCTGCAGCGTTCCAAAGTTGGCGATCGCACATGCGATCAGGCGATTATAACGAAGTGGATACGTATCGATTAGGCGAGTCAGCGATTGAGCGATCGCTCAATAGGCGGGACCAACAACCTTGGGTACCCGACAGGAGGCCTGTCGCGCGGCAAGAAGGCAGAGTCAGCGGACGAGTTGCAGCGCGTGTGTGCGATGTAGGACGTGCAATGGTACATTCTATTTAACTTGACGCGAAAACTACAGCGCGCTGCGACTCGTCCGCTGACACTGCCTTCTTGCCGCGCGACGGGCCTTGTGTCGGGTACCCAACAACCTTTGCGTATCCATGTCGTCTACTCGCTTTTTCGTCTATTTGATACACTTCTTCTTGAATCATCGCCTAATCGCCTACTCGCATTTTCGATCGCTAACTCTGAACGCTGTCTAATCCATTTCCGTATCGCTTTTTACTAACCCATTCAATTGAAAACAGAAAAAAAAACATAAATATGTATGTATGTCAATGTCAATCTTTAGGAATTACTATCGAAACGATTTCAACCATGAATGCTACATGGAGGACAGTTGCAGAAAGAAGTTTGTTTGCGCCATGAAACAAGCAAGAAGCTATGATGACACTTTCTGCTTAGGACTGAAATAATAAACAGTTTTAGGGTTACTTGCATGCATTCCTTTGTTTTGTGTTTTGTTAAGTTGATTGAATTTCATTAGAATTTTGGAAACAACCATGCTTCTAGCGTTACTCTAAATTGTGAAAAGGATGTGACGTATTCGTGTCACAGCAAGTAAAAAAAAATTGGCTCAAGATCAGGGTCAACCGTCCGTTGGACAAAGTCCAATGAGGGGGGGTCGTATCGAGGCCCTCTAGAAGGGGGAGGGGGTCGTAAAATTTTCGGAAGGTCCAACGTAACGCTTGGCCCTGTCCAAGGCGCACTTAGCAAAGTTCGCACCGCGCGAAGCGAAAAGGTGGTTTCTCGACGCGCAGAAGATGCAGCCGCCCTTACCGTCGCTGAAACATGAAGCCGTTCAGGAGCCAGTGTTGAATCCATGTGAAACTGGTTGAAATTACAGGCGTAGCCCAAAGTACTGAGACCGCTCGTTCTCAAGGAATTCCTGCGATATTTCCGCGTTTTATTCGCTTTTCCGGTTTTTGTGTAATGCAACAGTTTCTGCCCAGGCGCTGTCATAAAACCCCAGAGCAAAGCGCCTGCTTGGGATGGTGAGAACGCACCCTTGTCTCAAGAATATCATAGAGTTGTACTAAAGAATGTCTTTGGAACAACTTCTAGAAAGGTCTCGAAGTGAAGAAACTGTTTTGGAGTACCATGTGGAAGAATTGAATTGAAATAATTGAAATTGGATACGCGGCGATGAGAATGGTTGACTCCCTGATCGAGACCTGTCACAACTGCTGCTGTCTTATAAACCTCATGAAAATATGCCAATTTCATACCAAAGTCGAATTTGGGCGCTGGTTTATTTTTTTCAACACCAGCCAACCTTGTGTAACAGCGGCTCAATGAAGGCCGGCGGGTCCTAATTCATCGCCCCGGTCTTGATTTGTGGAAGCTTTGTCACCACTCTCACAGATATGTACACCGTCCATTTTGCGAGGAGTTCATGGATTTAATCTCTATAATAATTCGGGTCTGCTGAACTGGTGCGGGTCTAGTGGGGTCCAACGCCTGTAGAAACCGTACAGAGTGCGAAATTCGACGCTCTGAGTATCCAATATAAGGTCGTAACAAAGTTTAGTGGCAATCCAAGCCTAAACTTGCCGTGGTTGGGAATTTCAACCACGGGTCTAAGAAGGACCTGCATCAAACCTGTCGCGGACGTTGGGGAATGTGAGCACCGTGACTTCCCCAGACCAGTCCTACAGGCACTCGCTCCCACCAGCTGCGACCCATATCTCTTCAACTAGTGGGTGCCTGTCTAAGCTGTCATTCCCGGGACGGTGCAATTTCCCCACACACACGGCGGCCGCAGTAACATCGGCCTAGCGAAGGCGACCTCCGAAGGGACGCATTGGTGAGACTTACCGATGCTCCTCCAAGAGAGACTACCGTGACTTCCGAAGATGGCATGGAGCGAGGCGAGCCAGGCTTGCGACGCGCGCTGGACGACGTCGGTACCGCGACAAAACCTGGTGGCAAGTTGCAATTGTTCATCTCGCGAGAGTGAAGCGTTAGTCTCCCGTTCAGCTTCGAGATAATAGTCTTCCTTGAATTTGAATTTTTGCAGTAAAGTCAAGGTCTGTGGAACCCATGTGTATACAACTTCTTGTTGGACGAGGGATGGGAAGGTAATCCTCCTGATTCAGATATAGCGGATATTTCACTTGGGATACTAAGACTGAAGTTAATCTTCAAAAAGCAAGGAAAGAAATTCTGAAGGAAAGAAGTGGGCATGGGTCGATCCCTTCAGGCTCCGTATCACTTATGGGACCAGAAGGTCTTTTCAGAGAACTACCTGCCTTTGTCTGTAAAGACTTTTCAACTCCAAATTTTCATTTTCTTTTCAAAGCGCTTCACTTTTCTAGCTTTATGTTGAAGAATAGGCCCGCCACAATTGTGTAGAAACGTTTGCATAGGTTAGCGCATGAACTCTTCACTAGATGACAGTTTCAAATACAACAAATACAGCAGTACATGTTGAAAAGAGAGATTTATTCGAGTACACACATAAAACAGTTGCGTTTAAGCCTTCTTTGCTACTTTTCTTCTGGCCACACGTCGTTTCTTGCTAACACGACGACGAGCAACATGACGTCTGCGGAATACACACCAGGTCCACCACTGTAGCCAGCGCCAGCTCCACCGCCTCCATGTCCTCCGCCGCCTCCTCCGCTGATTCCTCCGCCAATTCCGCCTCCGCCGCCGATTCCACCACCACCTCCTCCTCCGATTCCTCCTCCATTACCGCCTCCGGCGCCACCACTTCCTGCACCACCTCCGTTTCGTGGCATGGGTTGTTGCAGTATTCTACTCACCCCCAGGTGTGGCATCCATCCCAGGCGCTCCTGGTGCTCCAGGCGCTCCAGGTTGTCCTGGATTTCCGTTGGGTCCAGGTGGACCTGGTGGACCAGCGTTGCTGCCACCACCGCCAGTGCCGTCCTGTCCTGGTTGTCCTGGTGTTCCATTTGGTCCTGGAGGACCAGGTGGTCGGTTGTCCTGCTCCGCTAGTTCCAGGTGCTCCTGGTTGACCGGGAGATCCAGGTTGACCATCACTTCCAGGTTGCCCAGCGTCTCCTGGTGGTCCAGGAGTGTCAGTGCCGTGTGACGTCCTTTATTCCGCCTCCGTGCTCCAAGGATTTCCATTTAGTCCAGGTGTGGTCCGCGCTTCCGTCAGGTCGCTTGGTGGTCCTGGCAGGTCCTCTGACTGGGCAGCGAGAGAATGCAATCAGAGCCTCCGTGTATCTCACCTGTGCCCCGTTTGTTTCCTGGCCTTCCAGGCTGTCCAGGCTCTCCATTCTCTCTAGGCAGTCCGGGTTGTCCAGGTGGTCCAGGTGGTCCAGCGGGGCAACCACTGGCTTGCTGACCGCAATTGCATGATCCACCTCCTGTGCTGTAGCCTGTTTGTCTGCGCCTTATAATGTTGCACGTTTGTCTCGAGCCATTTCAGGAGTGGTTCTCATTTCGTGCCATGCGGAGTTAGCGAGGTCCTTAAATAACCAACTTCTCGTCTCAGATTATCGTTTCGTTGTCTATGTCACCACTTACCTTGAAGCCATCGAGCTCAGAGATGACGTCGTCGTAGAAGGTGTTGATGTCGTTGACTATGTAGACCACAGTCACCAACGAAACGACGACGGCCACTGCTGTAACAGCGGCCACTCCACTAGCCAACGTGGTTGTTCCCATTCCTAGAAACCAGAGGGTTTCAAATCGCATAGATAAATACTCTGAGCTAGAAGAGATCAAGAAAAGACCAGGAAATGGTTTGCAGTTGCTACTCAGCAAAGAACTGTGGTTCATTGCAACTTTGCTGGGGTCTTATATTGAACAACTCAAGGTCGCGTACACAAGGAATGATAGCGTACGAATTAGGTATTTCAGTTTTATCGCTGCTTTCGTTCTCGTTATCGACAGGTTAAACTGAAAGTTTTAGCAGAAGGGCAGGCAATTAACATTACCTTACTGACACTTTCTTCCGCATGATTAGCGCCAGCTGAGCGCGAGCGTTCCTCCTGCGAACAATTGAAACAAAGTCTCGTCGCGGTCAGCCTTTGTTCGGGTTTCCAAGGTAGCTGAAGGTTTATAGAATGTTCCACAGAAGCCATTATAGCCACTATTGGTCATGCCAGAAGTTTTTATTGATCTGAAAGGAAAAATTATGACACAACTGCTTTACTCTTAACGGTCATGGGGTCATACAATATCTTTACTCCACAGTTTTTGCGCCCCTGTTTATATTGCAAGACTGTAGAGAAGGGGTATGATCGCTGACATCTGGGAAAATGAACATTCAAGTTATCTTCGATTCGAAAGCTGTCGAATTCTGGAAAAGAGGAATTCTCACCCATGGCGGATAATCGTGAATAATTGTGGAAATAGACATGTGGAATAAAGTGGGGTTTAAATGAAATTTATAAAGGTTTTTTTTAGAATATTCCAGAAATTTGATGGGTACATTTTTTTTCCTTAAAGACGGGGTAATTTTCTTTCTCGATGTCGCTTTTGTTTTCAAATGGGAAATCATGCTTTATTTCAATGAAATTCAGTCTTTCCTCTCGCCATGCCTCAACTATTTGGCACAATGGTACTATGAGAAGTTCATGATATTCTACGGATATAAATTCTGAATCGTTGCCCCTCACAAATCAAACAACAAGGCAAAGGCCAACGTTTCATAGTTCGCGACACCGGAGATTAGGATAGTACGCGACAATGAAAATCATATGTATTGACGGCGAGATCACGATAGTAGTAGATTAGAATAGTAGTAGATTAGGATAGTGCGCTGACAAGATTAGAGTAGGAAATTCGCATCAAGATTAAATACGATCGATTGAAATGCTTGGAGACTTATTTATTTATTTATTTATTTATTTACTGTGCGCCCAGGAGACGCGCTTTAACAAGTCAAGCAAGAGGGCAGATAGAGGTAGCAGCTGTTAAGGACTTCAACGATAACTAACAAGAACGTAAAAAAAAGGAAAACAAAGTGTAAAGTATAAAATAAGATGAGGGTGATTGCTGCATCACAAAGAGCTCTAGAGAAAAAAATCAACAAACTACGCGCCAAGTGAAAGGATTCGGATATTACGATAGTAGGATAGTAGTAGAGTAGGAGATTAGGATAGTAGTAGATTAGGATAGTGCGCTGACAAGATTAGATATGTATTGATCTATTCGCTTGAAGTCGCCCAATCTACTACTCTCCAGCGATTTCAATCGATACGTATCCAATCTTGTCAGCGCAATCTCCTACTCTACTACTATCCTAATATCCTGTCGCCTACTATCCTAATCTCCCGAGTCGCGAACTATGAACGCGGCCAAAGAAAAATGTCGGGCTGGGGTCGAACCCAAACCTGTGCATAGTGATGTGAGGAATATCCGTAAGAAAGCAATGAAAGAATGGAGAACACCTTTACGTGGGCTCATCATTCTCAAACAAAAACAAAGGAAGGAGAACTATTCTTCGAACATGTTGTGCTCTTCCCGAAGAAGATGATGGAGGGG